AGGTCTAGTAATATTTAGATAGAAGCCTCTCTTTACTATATTAATATTAGCAAAGGGCTCTCTATCACTATCACAGAGATTCTAGTTAATAAGAAATCCCTCTCCTTTATAGTGTAAAAGGCCTAAAAATATAGATATAGGAAATTCTAGTATATATAAGGTATTATTTAACCTTATATAGTTAATTTCCCCTTTAAAGTATATAAGAAGTATTATAGTTCCTATTCCTTTAGGTCTAATAGGTCTTGCACCTATATTAACTATAGGAATATTTTTCTTAGTTAATAGGTCTATAAAATAGTCCTTATTATTTAATATATAGACTATTAAACCTATATTATATAACTAGTTATCTTATTAACTTAAATAGTTAAAATAGGCCTTATAAGTATAATATTAACCTTCTTAGTTATCCTCTTCTAGAGGCTAGTTAGTCTAATAAGTTATAGTAAAAGTTACCTTTTCTCTACCTTTAATAGGCTATAGGTTTAATTCTAGGTTATTAACCTTCTCTTTAGGTCTTTTAAACCCCTTATTTCCCTATTTATAGGGTTTCTTATCCTTATTAAAAAGATACTTATATTCTTTAATAGAATTACCTTTATTAGAAGAAGAAAGGCTTTTATTATAGTTATTAGACATAAGTATATTATTTTTACGCCTATTTTTGTCTTATATATTATTAATAAGGGCTTCTAGAGAAAAAGGCTCTTTAGTTCTTAAAGCACTTCTTTATCTTTCTACTTATACAGAAAAATAACTACTTAAAGCAGCTATAAAGACTGTTTTTTAGTCTATATCTTCTATTTTAGCCTCTATATTATTAAGCTTAGAGATATAACCCTTAAAGGAGCTAATAAACTTATTTAAAGTATTATAATTCTCTAGTTTAATAGTATAAAATTCTAAGTATAACTGTTACCTTAGAATAGGGCTAGTTTCTTTATAAGAAGACTTTAGTATATTTAAAGTATCCTTAGGATCCTTTAAGTTAAATACTAAAGATAAAGGTTCTTTTTAAAGGTTTTACCTTATAATTAATAAGGACTATATTTTCTATTCTTTAGATATATTCTTATATTTACCCTCTTTTTTAAAATAGATATTTAACTTAAGTAGTTTAAAGAAGAGATAAATAGAAGTAATCTAGGAATTTTAATTATTAGTTCCTTAGAGACATTATTCTTAAGGTATTAAATAGTCTATAGTAGCCTTAATAAGATCTACTATTTTCTTTTAGTATTTTTACTAAAAATAAATAAGTATTTTTAACCTATAAAATAGAGGTCTTACTTTTTCTACCTCCTTAGATAAATATATATCTTTATAAGATATATAAGGCAGTTAAAGGGTTTTATAACTACTACTAATAGACTTATATAACCTTTATTTAGTAGATATTAAATACTATCTCTTAGTTATAAGAAATACTAAAGGCTTACTCTTTCTACCTTAATATTCTTATAAAAAAAAGATAGTATAAAGGATCTACCTTATAAATAAATAAATAAGCTACTAAAGAGTATATATAACTCTTATAGTAATAGAAATACCCTAGGTATATAACCTAGGCTTATAACCTATTAGTATAATAGGTAGGCTTAGATCTCTTAGAGAAAATAATAGCCTAAGAGTATATAAGAAAGTATATCTCTTATATAAAAATATATCCTATAAAAGCAAGAATATAGGATAACAGGGGTAAATATAGAGATATAAGGATATAGATATAAAGAGAGTATAATAGTTAGTCTTATTATTTTATTACTAACTGTTCTGTTTTACTTACTTAGAGAGAGAATAAGATAGACTAGAAATAGGAAGAAATCTAGCCCTTATATAGACTTATCTAGCTTACTAGAATATTCTATACTTATGTAAGCTACTTAGAAATTAAACTAAGATTATGTAACTTATTAACCTTAGTTAAATAACCCTAACTTAAAGCAGTAACCTTATTAAAGAGATAGTATTAAGAGAAGGTTTCTTAAACATTCTAGTACCTTCTCCTATCTTCTAGTAATTACGTAATCAGACATACTTACGTAATTAATATATATATTAATCTACTAAGTTAGTAGATTATAAATATATATATCTTGTATATATATAACCTCTATAATAAAGGAAATATAAGATAAAGAAGTATTAAGAGTATAAGAGATACTCTTAGTTCTTATACTTCTAATAAAAATTTATTATAATAACTAAGAGATAATTAGGCTAGTTATTTAATAAAGAGAGCGCTTATTAATATATCTATAATATATTAATATTTAGAATATATAGTTAAAACAAGAATTCTTAAACAGGAGTTTTAATATTATCTATATCTTAATAAATAATATACTAGTAGATAGACTTATAAAAAACCTTTTATACACTAAGTTTAAACACTTTAGAGCACTAATTAACCTCTCTAATATAATAGACTTTATTTAGAATAATAAAAACTAAGTAAATAAAAATAAGTAAATAAATTCTAAAAAGTAAAACTATCTAAAGTGTTATTTCTTAGCTAGAAAACTATTTAGCTACTTAAATAAAGAAAATACCTTTATCTTAGCTAGGATTACCTTAGTATACTAAAAATAAACCTACTATCTTAAAAACTAATTATTAGGACTATACTACTAGATTTAACTAATCTATTTTAGAATCCTAAACACCTTTTACCTAAGAACTTACTTTTAAACTAAAACCCTATTTTTAAACTAAATCTAGGTTATTTACTTATAATAAGCCTTTATAGCTACTTTATAAAGACTAAATAAGCTTTCTAAAGTTAAAATTATAGCTAGATTTAATCTATTTATTATAAAGTAGCTATAAATTATATTTTATATAAGATCTAGCTACTAAGATATAGTAGTATAGTCTTTACTAACTAAAGCTAGTTAAAAGGAAGCCTATAGGGCAAAAGCCTATATATAAGCTAGAGCTAGTTAAGGACCTATATTAAGAAAATAACTTAACTAAGCTAGTAGCTAGTAACTATAGCTACTAAATAAGGTAATATTAAGATCTAGAAGCCTAGTAGTTTATAAAGCCTTTTTCTAGTAAGAAAATATATTCTTAAATATTTTAATATACTTATAAACCTTTTTACTTTAAAAAGTAAGTACCTTTTTACCTAATTAACTAAATATAAACTAGGACTTAGTTAAAAAACTTATACTTTTCTTTATATTTCTAGAGTAAACTAAGGCTATAAATATATCTATATCTTAATAAAGTAACTCTAGAATAAAAATATATTAAGAATAGTTCTATAAACAGTAAATATAACCCTTTTCTACTATAATATATTCTCCCTAAGAACTACTATATAAAAGGCTTTTTAAGTAGTTTATATAAGATAGATTTATATATAGACCTAGCTTAAGGATAAGTATTTTATCTTTATCTATATTATATATTTTATGCTTCTTATATAAACTACTATAATTACCTATATATTACTTTATAAGATAATTATAAACTAAGGACAAAGGCTTATTATTAAAATCTTTAGACTTAGACTTCTAATCTAAAGTATTAAGTAGCTTATATTTCTTAGCTTTTCTAATATAGTAAGTCTAAGCTAAAGTAAATTTTATTTTATATACTCTCTAAATATAGGCCTAGTTATTTTTTTACTAATAACTTATTATATTATTAGTATATAAAACAAGATTTATATTTAATAATCCTAAGGCTATAAAATTTTATATTAGTATAAACTAAAAACACTTAAGAATTAATATATAAGTCTTATATTTCTAGTAAATAAGTACTACCTACTTAAAAAATACCTTTTTAAGCTACTACTACTTTACTTTTTATTTATTCTTCTTAAGTGTCTTCTTTAAAGTCTTAGCTAAAACTACTTAAGAATTATTAATACTACTTAAGAGAAATAGATTTCTAGACATAAGAAGTAAAGTATAAAGTAAATTCTCTTAAATAAAAAAAAAACACTAGGTATAGCTACTTAAGGAATAAAATTCTAAACTATAGCTATTTAATTCTTAGCTAGAACTATATTTATAAAAGGATTTTAAGCTAGGAAAATAGAAGTCTAAACTAAAGCTACTTAGTTTTTAGCTAAGACTATATTTAAAAAAGAAGTCTAGGCTAGGCTAGTACTATTAGAGGCTAAAACACTAAATAGGCCCTCTTTATTAATAACTAGTAAACTAGCTGTTTTTACTTAGTTAGCTATAAATAAGTTATAAAGGTTTTTAACTTTATTTAGTATAAGGCTTTTAGAGGTAGTATTATAAATTCCTAAATAATTTATACTTAAGTATAAATCTAATAACTAAAGGTATAAAAAGTAATAATTATATAAAGTAAAACCTTATATTTTATATAGTAAAATTCTTTTCTTAAATAAAAGGTAGTTAAACTTTTAGATCTTATTATTAATACTTTTTTATTTTATTTTACTAGCTATTTTTTACTTAAGAATAAAAAAATTAGCTAATATATACCTTAGAATTAGGATACTAAGTAAAAAAAAAAACTAACTTACTTATTTAATTTATTAATAAGTTAAAAAAAAAGAAAAAGATTTAAAGAAAAAAAAAGGTTATTTTATATTAAAAAACCTAAAGCTATTATACTTTTCTTAAAAATAATAAAAGAAAGTATAGTTAAGAAAATAAAAACCTTTATTTAAAAGGTTCTTTTTAAACTTTTTCTTTATTTACTTTATTATAATATTTTAGTTATAATAACTTTTATTATATAATAATTACTTTATTTTTTTTTATTTAATAATTCTAAATCTATATATAAAGCTACTTTTAAGATATCTTAAAGCTAAGGGGGTATATTATAAAGCTAGATTAGCTTTATGTAGCTAGTGCTAGCAGCGCTGCTACAGGATGTAGTATACCACCTGCACAGACTATCTAGAAAAGGTATTTCTACTGCTTCTCCAGTTTATACGTAGTTTCTTAATAGGTTAACTACTTTTCTCTCATATAACAAGACGCTGCAGTTCATTACAGTATCTAGGCTGTATAGGAGCCACACGCTTCGCTGCGCGAGGTCTTGTTTCTCTTTGTCAGGAAACAGTTGCTGGCCTGGCGCCGCGTGTACCAGCCGGAGCTCTCGGGCACAACACACGGCTTCGGTGATCTTATCCCAGATACGAGACCCCTCGACCATCCGAGCGATAATTGCCTGTGTAGGTTTGTGCATTAGAGATAAGGGGGGCCGAGACACTTCTCTCGAGAGTCGTCTCTTACCAGGAGTAGCAATACCTAAGACACTTGGTAATGAGCAATCTGATTGGAGAGAGCTAGAGTAGTGGAGGCATAACTGGAAAGAAGGTACTCACTTGAAGTTTCATCAGGCTGCTCGGAGAGTTCTTTATGGTCCCGTAAAGCCCTAGTAGGTATATGAGGCGTCTTTGGGCATTTCGTCTTGCTTCAGAGTCAGGTGCCAGCCGGTCGCGAAAGCATTTGATGTAGCAACCGATCGCCATAATGGCATCGGTGAAGACAGTGGCGAGTTTATCAGCTCCAGGAACTTTGGACATCTGGATCACTTCATCGACTGCATGACGGGTCAAGAAGGTGCCAACGCTGTTCGGTTCATTGTTCCAACAATTCATCAATCACTGAAGCTCGGGGATATAATGGTTTGTCAGAGTACACTCACAGACACCTGTCTTCGAAGCACGCTACAAGCAAAGCAGAGTCAGCTAAACCTATCGGGTCCACGTTCTTGCTTGCTTACCTTCGCTGTAGCGCAAAAGATCCGCGTCGCTATGGGAGAAAGACTGCATCGGCCCGCTGGTGTCACTGTCCGAAAAGCATGACGAGTTTTCGTAGAAAACGCGACGGAGGTTCTCCACAGTCTTTACCATCTCCGCCTTTTGCGGACCTAGGGTGCTCTTCGAGAGGACCTCGCCTAGACCGTAAAGATTCGACATTGAGAAGTCGACGGGAAGTATGTCAGGATTCGCGTTTTCTGCTTTCACCTCAGAGTCTGCTTCTGTCTTCGCGCTTGTCTTTGACTCAGAAGGCAGGTTTGTTGTTTTATGGAAGTTGAAAAGCTGCACTGTCTGAGCATTACTAGTATATCTCCAATAACTGCATGTACTCGGCAACTCACCGTGCTGTAGTGCGGAGGGCCAATCGAAGCGACAGACTGTGGCGACTGGATGGACTTTTCCGGGTACAGGTCGATAAATTCAAAGTTCATTCCGCCTTCAGAGTGGCACTCTGAAGGCGATGCTATGTCAAGTAGCTCAAGGAGGCCTGCTTCCCTGGTGCCATTGACCCCTCTATCTTCGGTTGAAATTGTTGTTGCCAGCCTCGGTGTCAAGCTGGCACCGTCACACGTGAACTGTTGCCATTCATCGTGCGGAGAGGCGTACAAATTGCGGGCCATATCTCGTCCGTATTCGGTTGGCGTTGAACAGCTGCTGAAAACCCCTTGGGGAGTATCGTTCCCTCGCAGCCGAGGAGTTGAGGACCGATAGTGACAAGGGTAGCCATTTCGCTGGGATAGAAAGATCGGTGAGATGGAAAGATTATTTATATCAACAAGCTAATATAAGAAAGGGTCTTCATGCCTCACAGCTGAGGCATGGTTCGGTACCGTTACCTGAAAGTGTTTAGAATGATTAGCGTCAAAAAGAATTGTGGCCATAAATAAAGTAGAGACTTACATCGTACTTTTCTTACCCTGCATAATTGGCAAGCACCTCTTCTTCGTGTGATCGGTCTCATTTTGGAGAGCTTTTGAGGTACAAATTTGAGAGAATTTAGAGCTAGGCCTGGTTTAGCAAACCTTTAACGTTATGTCTTTCAGGCGCATAAAACGCTTCGCAAGCGTTAGTTGTGGTTAGAACTCACAAAACGATTACGGTTTGGAATGGCACAGCAGGATAGACATACTAGTAAGATAGACATACTAGTAAGATATAAGGTTAATAAGTTAGAGTTGAAAGGAGCTAACTTGCAAAAAAGTCCTAACACAAAGTCCAACGTGCACGACTCAGGATATATATTATGAGTCATGCGTCATGAATTCTATCGTTTCTTTGTGCAACCATTGCAACTAGTTAGCGTTTATAGTTTGCCTCTGGGGAAGTTTCTGTAAACTTTCTGTCAAGTCACGAATCGAGCCTGTCAATAGGACTAATATAGCTCTAGTCTCTACTTGACTTAATAGACTGAATTCTCAGCCAGTGTTACGTCGAATAGATAGATTTCTGTATTATTTATACTGGGCACCTACCTTTCAGACTGCAGCTTTTCTGCTACTTACTCTAGCCTAACTGCACTTCTCAAAGTATCATTATTAGTGGAGTAATTTCACTTTTGTTTCTAAGTGTCATATGCGATAGCTATCAGACAGGCTCTGGATCACTTTGGAAAAGTTTCTGTGAAGCCTATGGCAAAGTCTATAGTAAAGGTTATCAAAAGGTTTTTGTTGGATTCACCAGGAATATGGTGATACGGTTAACCGTACGTATCGGTGGCAATTGACGAATAATGGGGTTACTGTTGATCTCTATTATGCGTGAAGAATAGAAGGATAACTATCGTGGGTTGGTTGGTTGAATAACCAACCAATTGCCGCAAATCCTCAGTGGATCCTTGGCCAATTATCCAAGGATTCGCCGGCAATGAGTCATCGGAGCTAATCCGATACCTCCGATAATTATCCGTGATGGTCAACATCGCAACAGTTTTAAGCTCAGAGTGTAACCTGTAGAACCCACTGCTAGACAAACTTTGCTTGCTACTCTTTAGGCAAGAAATAAACCCAGTAGGGATCGAAGCTTTAACATTTGTGGGCCACTCCATTGACGGAAAGTCGCTGGGACAGATCACTGGCAGGACGACAAGACGGACAGAACTATGCTTGATGATTGACGGTTCAGCGTACAACTTACCGCCCCACCGGGATCTTAAGTAGGCTTCCCTTGATACTGTTTGTTCTCTTTAGCCATATAGAATCTAGAATACAATGTCAATAACAGCCTACATCGGTTATGATGGCTGGAATTAAAGAGACTCGAGGGATACATACTAGGCAAGGTATTTCAAACGGAGATATCAAGGCAAAATTTAACCCGCTAGTCAATCACTGGTGGATCCGACCACACACCGCTTCGCTGGCCAACCAAAGGGTCCAAATTCATCAGACTTACAGCTCCAGCTGAAGTCAACTCAGTCGAGGTTCTGTGCTTGTCACGCGCTTTTGACTTGTGTTAAATATTTGAGTTTCCGCATAGTCCCTGTCCCTGTCCATGGGTTGATACCTGACTATCCGTTTAACTGTACCCATCACACGTGGTAGGTGGAGGAATCCTAACAAACCTGAATAGTTTATTGTACCGCGCTAGGTGGCTCGAGGACCAATCCACTCTCGGTCCTCCGGACCGAGTTCGGATTGCTAAATGTTGTCCGGAGGTCAATGAAGACTAGACAGTCGAAAGACCGCTGCGAGCCCTCGTCAAGGATTCTTCCAGAATCTACATAACAAGGGTCTACCTATCTCTCAACTAGAAAGCTTTCACAATGAACCGTACTGACCTTGCTCGCATAACTGGGCAAAAATCTTCCACTGCTCCGCGGTTGACGCCAGCGGATCTCGATAATACATAGGAACATCTTTCATGTGCTCAGTAGCACCAAGAGAGCATACGGAAGCACTATGGCGCGGTCCTCGGGCTATGAGACACTCCCGTTTCTAGACGACGAACACAGCGAGCTCGCCAAGTACGATCACCAATTGCCTACAGACAAGCCACTGTCGTCGTCATCGGTGCGAGGGCGCCGGTCGTGGTGTGTTGTTCTCATCTACGTCTGCCTGACGATCCTCAACGGTCTGTGGTTTCTGGCCAACGTCTACCATTCACGGCAGACTCTGCCGATGACAATCACTGGTCAACTGACCTCTGTAGGTAAGTAGTTTCCGTTTGACATGAGTAAAAACCTTTCTCCTCCTCATCGCTGCCATCATAATCATGACCGTGATATGTATAACCCTGCTGACGATCCATGTTCGACAGAGCCTCGAGACGCGCCTATAGAGGTGGTGAAGACGCGGTGGGATCTTCCCGCGGGGAAGCGCTCCGCTTTCACGAGCTACAATCGCGATGAGGCCGACGCCGCCTGGTCGACACGGTCTGTTGGCAATAACCGTACGTTACCCGTTAACCCCATTTTGCGAGGCGCTTGGGAAACCTATGTGTAGAAGTGCGGACCATTGAGCAATTAACTGATGAATCTCGCCGAATTCAGAGGGCTGGCTCAAAATAGCGAAAGAGGAGCTCGAGGCCATGGGGGAGGTGTCAGTCGAGTTCAAAGACGGGTCCGGCTACCTAGTCTACATGGACGTCTTCCATCAGCTTCACTGTCTTAACTACCTGCGCATGAAACTAGACCCGTGGAAGGCGAGCTACCCACATATTCCGTCTGACGACAACTTCCCCGAGGGATACCATGTCGGTAAGTAACAAGGTCTTCGAGAACCACCCGCCCCCACCCCTACAACACTTTTCAACCAGACATCTGACAAAAAGAAAAAACAATAGCCCATTGCATTGACTCGATCCGGCTGTCGCTTGAGTGCCACGCCGACCTGTCAGTGGTACCCCAGCGATGGGCAGACGGGTGGATGGAGCCGTGGCCCGTGGTGGAGAGCCAGCACACGTGTCGCAATTACACAAAGATCCAAGAATGGGCCCACGCCCGCCACCCTCGCGTAGATGTGGAAGAAAATCTATATCATCCGACGCTGGGTAAAGTTTATGGGAACCGTTTGAACAAATCTGCGCTGCCGGTCTATTGGGAGAACCACGATGAGATCTAGGGGGCGTCTCCCGTGGGGGTGACATTACCTGGAGACGGACGGCATTTACTTTATTAGGGTCTTGCTACGGATGATTTGGGGTAGAATCTGAGCTATAAAATAGATGTTGCGTTTGGGTATTTCAAAATGCTTTGTGCTCCTACGAACTGCTTAGCCAAGGTGAGTATTAAGGTCTTGATTTGATTGTTGGTAAGTCTGTTAGCTTAAGGAACAGGTACTATAGATGAGAAAGAAAATGTGTTTCGCAAACTGCAACATCGATAAGTCTAGATAAACCCTCACGAATGCTTGAAGATTAGAACGCAAGCCATCGCCTCCCGTAGTAAGACTAGATTGTGTTGCTGCTCAAGTAGCACAGCAAAACAACACTAAAACGGGTTTGGCAAGCCTGCGTAAGCCATAAGCTTCTTCCAGTCCCGACACTGGTGCACTACCCCTTCCCCGGTCGTCTCAGTGAAGCCGGGCCCCATGGCCTCCAGCGTGGAGTCAGCGGCACAAAGAATGCCCTATAACCACAAGATGTGTATCGTCAGTCTCGGCCCGCAGGTCCAGAATGTGATGGAATGAGAATCAAACCTGCCGCAAGAAATCAAAGCAGTGGCCCAGGTGCAACAAATCTGCTCCAGCCTCAGCGTCTTGAGCTCGCCACGTCGAGCGGCGCGCTGGGTCACCTATAACCAGCGCCGTGAACTCGGCACGCAGTGATATCAGGCAGTGCATCTTGTGGAACATGTCAATCCCGCGGGTGACTACCGTCCCCGAGGCGGGGTTACGGCCGTCGATCCATCTCATGTCCCACCATAAGTTGCGGCTGATGAGGTCGTCCCAGCGCGCTTGCGTTGCCTCGTCGAAGGGCTCGAGGTCACGGTGGCGGTCGAAAGCGTAGGGCACCTCAGGCAGCACGATGGGCGACGAGACGATAGCCCGCCGCCAGCGGAAGTGGAACGCGCTCAGACAGGTGAGCAAGAGGGCAGCCATCAAAAAGAACGTCCATAAATTTCTGCCTCTTTCAGGTCTGTAGTGATCGTGGCCCGGCCTGGAGTCATGTGCGTGTTTTGGCAGGTCGCAGTTTGTCGAACAGGGGGTTGAAGGGGGGTCTTCAGACATGGTGTGAATCTCTATCTGGGTGGGCAACAAGGAGTGGAACTGGCTGAGAAGAGGAACACAAAGATGAAAAGGGTTTTCTTAATGTGAAAGAGAATGAATAGCCTGAGACAACGCCGTTATACACTTTCCACTAAAACATTTCAAGGTTTACGTTAGCTTTGGGTTTTCCGATTCCGTCGGACCTGAGTCGCCGAGGCCAGCTTGGGTGTCTTACTTTCTCCGGTTTGGACGGCATAATCATACACGGAACAGACCAACCAGCTCTAGGTCACCAAAGTATATGTAAGTTGACTCTGATTATAGAATCCCGACCGGAAAACGAATCACATTCTTGGCCGGCTCACGATGCTGTCCCTGCGTACCGTTGGTGTTGGCCTTGTCTCTTCCGCGACGGCCCTCCTTATCATCTTGGTCATCGTTGGACCTTCTCCGCCCATCTCGCTGGATGTATTTTTCGAACCGGCTCCTAAGATGCCACGCTTTATCCTCGGAGACGCCGCCTATGCTCACTTTGATGATGCCGCAGACGCCCTTTGGAACGACCCCGGCGCTCTCCTCCCAGCGTCTGGCGGCAGCGCGCTCGCCACCAATATGACCACTGGCTTCCATTACTGGGGTCATATCTCCATGTTCCATCATCTACGATGCTTACGCGACATCCGTACCCAGATGGTGCGCCTGGCCAGAGGCGGCCCTACCACCTCCGTCAAATATGCCCCTGAGGATGGTCGTCCTGGGTCGTCTTACGAGGCGCTCGGATACTGCTTTGACTACTTATTGCAGGTGCGTTAGATTTCTTTCCTATCATCTCTTCCAGGTGGAACAAGGTACCCAAATGCGTATGTATGGTCTGTCTGACGTCTGAGGCGGCTATGTGCGCAGGGGATTTTATGCCATGCCGACACCACGCCGAACCCCGTGGCTAGTATGCATGACGGTAATAAGATCGTCGACGGGAACGCTCTGTGGCATCAGTGTCGAGACGACCGGATACTTCGAGACTGGGCCGATGTATCCGGGGTTCCTCATAAGGTAAGTGTTGTTTGATGCGTTGCACCTTGTCCGATAACTATACCAACGAGCAGACTGACCATGGCGCTTGCGCCTTAGGACTCCTTGGTGCGCATGGGCCCATGAGCAGATACATGATAACAGTCATGTGTGTGCTTGAGTCAAGTTTGTCGGCTTGTTGGTGCTGAGTAACATCCTGGATGGCTTTGGGAGGGGGTATCGACATTATCCACCAACAGAGCGTGGCCCTTTTGGAACAGTGTAGACATGGTTGGAGGCGACAGAGTGAAGGGAAATACAACATGAACGATACGATGATTTTAATGTGGCTTGTTTAGAACATTGGAGATAATTACATAACGTGCATAGCTTCCCTCTCCCGAACCAAATCTCCACACGACAACTTTACCCATCAAGACAAAGCCTGGGACCTATGATGAGGACGTTGGATCGACTCGCTCGTAGCACTCGCCGGAGCCGGTCCATATCAAGTGTTCGGACCAGGCGTTGCGTAACTCGGGGGTGTTGTAGTTGATGAGTCTGTCCAGGCAGTGCTCGAGATGTTCCTCATGGAGACCCTTGAAGCCTATGGCACGCGGCTGGCGGATGACATTGCGGATGAGGGCCTTCATGATATACTCGCAGTGACGGTAGTGGTAGTCATCAATAGTGAAGGCGTCGCGAGTGCCAAAGCCGCGCAGCACGGTATCTTGGGTGGTGGGCCGAGTCAGCAGCTCGTCCTCGTACCACTCCCACTGGTGCGAGTTGATGAACTCTTCCGTCAGCTCCTTGTCGACGCAGCGACCGGGTATCCAGCCCGTCTGCACCGGGTCGAAGATGCAGCCGCGAGCGCGGGCACCGTCGGGGTCTTGAATGCCGTTGCAGTACGACGAGTTGTAGATGAGCCGCCACCCGGGGAGATGCAGGCTGCCCTTGCCATGCGGGCTATTTTGGAGTTGGTCGTGGTTGTGATGGCTGTTGGAGCCGTAGCTGTCAGCACCGCTGTGTGCTCCTGTCGTTCCGGGGCAGGCGACAGCGGCGGAGCACGAGGCCCTGGACTGTTCCCAGGCGATGCGCCAGGTAGAAGCAATCGTCAGCGCCCAGGTAGAGGCGAAGGCCAGGGAGACGAGGGCGAGCAGCAATCCCCCGTACCAGCGCGAGAGGAGACCGCCAAGGCCTTTGTTCCGGGTGGCCGTATACAAAGGGAGGTCGAGGCTGTCGGCGTCGCTCCAATCCCCACCGGGAGAACCATCTTGAATGCGCTTGTCTTGCACGAGCGCCTTGTTTGAGTCTCTGGATTCCATGGGGATCATGATACGTCGTTGTGAAGATGTTTGGCTGATTTGGGATGGGTATGCATGCAAGTAATGCAATGATTAGGAGATATTGTCGCCAGTCTTGACAAGCAAAAATGTAAAAGGGCAAGGGGTTGTGAGTGTTATGCTTCAACTTAGCTCTGTACTCTGTCCATAACAGCATCGCGGCAGAAAGGAGACGAGTGGCGGTCGGTACTCGGTTCCGTGAGAGGTGTTGCGGGTGTTTACGGTCGAGCGGTCCGAGACGGGTTGACAGTTGGGGATCCGGTCGGCTACCTTGAGCCATGGAGTCTTGATCAGCGATTCGGTTATGACTAGGCACGATAGTTCCGGGAGTTTGCTACAGTTCCGATAGTTTATCAGTTTCCACTTTGTCATCCGTCCCAAGGAGGCCGTCGACCCTTGTCACTCTACAAGGTTTTGGATTATCCCGGATTTACTTTACCCGGCAGATCATTTCTAGGGTGGTGATTTTCAAGGAACCCATGTTAAAGCGACTTCATAGTACGAAGGTACAGTTCCAAAGAAACGCTGGTATTCTGTTCTGCTAACTCCCAGCTTCCTCAGGCCCAGATGGCAAGTCTGCCAGTCTGGATACACTTGTCGGTAAATAGAACCCTAACCCTGGTTACAAACCCTAACCCAAAACCACCCCGCGGTTGTATTCCACAGCTACAGAACTCCCCTGCACCATCGTTCGGGCGCGCGTGGCGTTGCCCTGTCGGATCCAGAACACCTCGCCAGGGTCCGGGCCGACCTTCTCTCCATCGCTTGTGTATGCAACGCAGTCCCGCAGCTCAATGGCACCAAAGTCGCCAAAGGCCACGTTGCGCGGCTCCCCAACCATCCGAAAGTCCTCCACGATCCACTCGACTGTCGCCCCGACCAGCCCCGCGTCCGGCTGCGGCGCGTTGAGCACCCGCGACACCCACTCGCCTCTCGAGAGGTTCCCCAGATATACCTTGCCCCGCGTCGCATTGAACATGACCACCTCAACCTCCATCTTGTCGCCAGGCTCCATCGCAATGTCGAAGAACTTTGCCCGAGCCGGCGTCCACTCGTACCACGCCTGGAACGAGAGGTCGCCCGACTCGCTCTCGTTCACCTGAGAGCTGACGCCCACTTGCAGCAACGCCGCGCGGTTCCATCCGTCGATGCCTACCCAGACGCTGACCGCGTAGTATTCCGCGTCCGGCCGCATCATGTCGAGTCCGAGGGTTATCGGCAGCGTGAAGTTCATCTTGGCGGCCGCAAACCTGCTGCCGACCGGAGGACGCGCATTGACTCCGCCCGCCCAGTTACGGCTGCTGTGGATAGTAACGGGACCCGATGGGGATACGGGCGCTGTCAGTAATGGGATCTCGCTGCCGGCGGAAGATGACGGCGAATCATGCGATAGCCGGCTGCCGCTGTTTTCAGCCGGTTTGCGTATGCTTCCAGCGAGACCGAAAAGAGTCAACGCGAGAAGCCACATGACCGCGATGCCCGCTGGCAAGAGTTTCGGCAAGGCCATGATTGCCTGCTTTGCAAACAAAGCGGGGTGATATGACCTTCGTCTGGCCAGTTGCGGCTAATGATAACGTATAACGCCGTTGGCAAAATGATTATGTAAACCACAAAACTACAATGGATAAATCGCTAGGGCGGGCGACACCAAGGTATTGGTGGTTATTATATTGTTGGTTGTTTTGATGTTGGAGATGATTCCGAGAAGAGAGGGCAACATGAATCAGGTTGCCTCCTTGACTCGACATCGAGCTCTCACTGGCATTGTCTGCAGCTGAGCCTGCCATGTGCGGAGTATCATCGCTGGACCGACGGTTACTAACGTTAATCGACTTTTTACTTCCTGTCCTGAAACCATACTTTTACTTCCGGTCCGCATCCAAGACCCGCAGGTACGGTTAGTGGAACGGCGGGCTTCTTGTCGTCGAAATGCTGGGTAGTCGGCGGCAATCGCCCGAGACCCTGTGCAAATCGTCTTTGTACCTCCCAAGGCGTGGTACCCGGCCATCTAGCTGACTCAGTCTTGGGGTCCTCTAATGTGGTTTGTTATATAGTAGCTACTTGTCTACATTTGTGCTACGCTTGAGTTTCCACCCATTAGATGTACCATCTCTAATGCCATCTCCGTCATACAAGCAAATATCAGAAAGCCATGCAGTCCAACCGCCTTTTCGAGTCCAGGTTGACGGACACGCTACCCCCCTCTCCGCCAGCTGGGAAGACGAGCCAAGACGATCAAAGACCATTGTTATCACGCTGGAGCGTATTCCTCCTGAGCGCGCCGTTTCTCTCGTAAGCCTAAGACCCAAAAGGAAAAACACAGGAAGAAGCGGCTAACAGTAACCCCCGCCTGGGATGACCGGAAAGCTTACAGTTCGTCTTCGTCATACAACAGGCTTTTGTAATGGTGAGTCTTTTCCGGACCGTCAAGTCCCAAATTTGGTATTGGTCTGTCAATGCTGGATTCTCAAAATCCCTTCACCCTTTTGTCGCAGTGGCTAAAGTATGCAACATGTACCATATAGCCCTACTTGTCCAGTATCGGTTTCTCAAACAGTGAAGTAACTTGGGTGCTAATGGCGGCTCCCCTCGCGGGGCTCCTCCTGCCGCTCATTGTCGCCTCCATCAGTGATGGCTCTCGTAGGTGGCCTATCCTCGGCAGCGGCCTCGGCGTCATCGTGGCCTTGCTTTGTCTAGCCTGGGCTCAGGAAGCGAGCGCCCTCTTCCTTGGTGCCCTGCGCCTTGACTCGCCCATCGCTGTCGTGACGGGAGGCAAGCTTGTTGCCGTTGTCGCCATCTACCTGCTCAATATCGCCATGCAACCCTTACACATCAGTCTCCGCGCTCTGCTGATGGACGTCTGCCCGCCACAGCAGCAGGCCACGGCGAGTCTTTGGATCACGCGGCTGTCGTCCAGCGGATCTGTACTCGGCACCGGCTTCGCTTTCTTCACGGAGCCGTCCTTCAAAATTTTGTCTCTCATCTGCTGCGCGGCAATGTGCTTGCTTCTGGGTATACACACCCTCCGTGCCCTTGAGTATTACGCCAAGCAGCGGGAGGAGATGAGCGGGAGGAGTGAGGTCAACAAGGCCTGGAACCTGCGCTCCATGGTGTCAAAGATGCGCCGTATCGTCAAGAAGTCGATGAGGCTGCCCGAAGTCACACGTATCGTGTGCCGGACCCAGATGTGGTCTTGGCTAGCCTGGTTTCCTGTGTTGTTCTACATGACCACGTAAGTTTGACTCCGCCCCTATAGTTCTTACGGGCTGCATTCATGTGAGACTGATGGTATGGTGGAAAACTGTAGTGCGGTATCAGAAACTTGTAAGTGCTTTGCTTTGACGTATTACTTGTTTCCATTCCCGTGACACTGACCTATTCGTGTGTCCAAGACAAGCGGGCCTCCGCAAAGCTGGGTCGATTCCATGTTGATAAAACTGAAGCTGAAGTGGCAAGCGCTGGATGTATGCTCGTATTCCACAGCGTGGTTCTTGTTACGACCGTCCTGATGCAAAGCTTGTCTGGGACGGCGCTGTCACGTAAAGCCATGGCGGCGAGCGCCTCCAGCCATGAATGTACCGCATCGGAGAGAAAAAAAGGCTTGTATCTCCTCGAAGCTCAGAACAGAAGGCTTTTCAAGGTTTGGTCTCTGGCGCTGACGACCACGGCCGGGACTCTTGCGGTAGCAGTGACGTCGGTGTTGGGCGGCGTTGATAAAGCCGCGCCGTTGGTGCTCTCATCACTCGGAGTACAGTTTGCCATATCCAACTGGATTCCGTACGGGATCATCGCGACGGACCTCGCGGTCAATGCTAGCGGACCTGAAGCTGACGCCGACGGCGGTAAGCTTGACGACGCGGCGGCCATCCTGGCGATCCACAACGGGGCGATATGTCTGCCGCAGATAGCATCCGCGGTGGCTTGCGGACTTTTCTTTCGCATCAACGAAAGTATTGGCCTCGTAATGGATGTGTTTTGGGTCTTTCTTCTGGTGACGCCAGTCCTGCTAATGGCGGCGTACGGTTCGTGGCCTTGCACTCGGAGCATGGGAGGCATTTAGGCAGAGGGTGCTTGTGATGGCCGAGGGTGGTGTTATTCACATGCAGAAGCATATATTCTGTGTCGTAAATAGCTTAGAATAATGATTCCAGGTGCAGGAGGCGCATAAATAGACGTAAATATATGTGCATAGATTGATTGGGCAGCTACGTGCCAGGAGGGAAGACGATGTCCTGGCTGGTGGATTAGCCTGGATCGAAATTAGGAACAACCATGTCATTGACACCAACATGGAGGCAATGCGCATATGACTCTCCACTATGACAATATTGGTCAAGTCTATGCGATTTACGATCCAGAATCCGACAGCTCATACGATGGCTGTACGTTGTATTATCAACTTGCAACATAACCTCACATAATCACATAAGTATTTGAAATGGTACGTCATAGAGTACAGCTGGTCGAAATGAATGATGTCAGAAAGATTGCCGGATATATTTAACGCGAATTATGTACCCTATGTTACAGCTGCCACGCTCATCATAGAAAGTGTCATAATTCAAACTGAATGCCTCTCTGAGATCTCCAGAAATGCATCATGATATGAAACCCTCAACTCCCGTACTAGCAGGAACCCAACGTCTTGTTGCCGACTGTATATATCGTGTACCGGTGGGGGCTGTACCGCGCGAACTCCAGCAGCATCAGCGTGCAGTAGCGGACGTGCTCAAGAGAGCTACTAAGTTGTCAGGTGCCTAGCGGAGGTCATGGGTTAGAGCTAGTGGGCCCCTATTAGTCAGCCCATGAGGGATAAAACCCTTCTAGCTGACGATAGTTAAGGGGTTAGATTTGAATGCTGTTACAACACCATACCTACCCTCCGTTAAGTGGCCCTATCGTTGACTTCATCACTCGGACCAGCTAATCCTCTGACATGAGTCCGTCAAGCAGCGTACTGTTGGCCTCAGCCGTGGCCTTACGGATGATGACGAAGGCGCAGTGAGCACGTGCTCGCCAGCCGTGGACCAATAAATATTGGTGTCGAGGCGGACGCCCAGGTCCGGGTAAACCACAGTCTTGTTCCGGTCTCTGTAGTAGGTGAAGGGACGGCCACCGTCGGCGGCGCGGGTGAAATCGTCAGCGCCCACGCGCGAGCAGCCAGGTAAGCGCCAGCGAATCGTAGCTGCAGCCGCGGGCCTTGGCCTCGTCGAGGTCGGCGCCGCAGGTGTAACGCCTCGCGGGGACGGGCATATGTTGCTAGACGAGCATAGGGGCGGTGAGAATAAAATAGGCGATGAGGAAGGCCGTAATGATCTGGCCGGGAATGCTGCTGGAGTCGGAGGTCCGCTTGGGGGTAGACGGGATGCGGTGATAGCCCGGAGATACTATACCCAGACGTTCAAGGACTTGGAGGGGTCGCATGGTGTTTTGAGTGAGCCTTAAGAGAGACAGCGGGTAGGCAATAGATCAACGCGATTTGCCCTGAGAAAGCTAAGGTATAGTACCAAGTAAGTGGTCCGGAGTTGATATGCAGGACCAACTCGGACGCTAGGGCCGTCTTCAGAATAGACTGTAGGGACAGGCTAGACTAAGATATGGGTTACTAGTGTAATTGCGCTGGAATGCCGGCAGCCGGCCGAGAGCAGTATCTGACCATGAGGCGCTTTGCCCTGAGTAATGTGCTCACGAGAGTTTCCACCGAACCGGGATTCAGACGCCCGCCAAGTGTATCTACGTTGAGTAATACAGACTACGGGATGCTCTGTCCGAGAAAATTCAAACCGCCGTCGTAATACCTTGGAGGCTCCGATTCCTTCGGTCCGGGCCCGATTTGCGTCAACGGCCGACCCTTACATATAATATAGCATACAGCAGACTCCACAGGTTTCCCCATGTATATAGCTTGCTCAAAACCCTCAGCGGGCTACCTCGACTGTCTCTAGTTTTATGATAGAACTTTGTTGTTCTTCTTCTTCTTCTTCTTCTTATCATTATTCTTGGTCGATTTGCCAGCCGAGAAACAAGTCAAGGGCATCTGCCTCGTCCAAATCAATACCCACTACCGCCGCAAAGAATTGCAATGGAGGAAGTCAAAAAGTACCACGACGAGGAAACGCCCCTCGTCTCCGATGACGGGCTCTACGAAGGCAACGACAGAACGGCCGTCGCCTGTTGTTCCTGCGGTCGGCGCAAGAGTCTGATAGTGGTTCTCTCGTCGATCGTGGCCTTGTTCGCTGTCGCCACGGCCGGGCTCTTTCTGGTGTACGCGCCGCTCTTCGCCGGCCACAAGTACGACTTTTCTGGATACGTCTGCTCGCCGTTTGAGGCGAGCCCGTCCGAGGCGCGCGCGCGCGGTTGCGAATTCGACAACTTTACGATGCAGTGGTACCCCAAGGAACGGTACGAGCGGCGCGAGACGATGGAGCTCCACGACCGCTTCATGGCCATGGGTTGGCCACGGTCCCTCGATAAGGCTCAGCAACACATAATCGAGGACCTGGAGCGGGCGCCCATGAAGATCTATATTACCTCCAAGGAGCACATTTGGCATTGTGGCTACTCACTGCTGCAGGTACACCTCTGGTTCACCATGGGCTTCGACCCGCCAACGACCTATGGCCATACGGAGCACTGCGTCAACACCATGCTGGACCTCATTGAGCGGTACCCGCCACCCGACCTGAACGAGGTCAGATACAAAACGCGTTCGTCGCTGGTTCCGGCCGAGTACCAGATCGTAGGTGTCCTCTCCCCTACTCGTGTAGCTGACGGGTATTGCGCTGGATTTCATGTTTGCTCATGTTGGTTTGGCACCAGATCAAACCGCCCTATCCCTGCGAGGAACACGGGTATGCGTGTACCTCCAACGATCATTCATACAAACACTCGTGAGCCTCATGGGTACTTATGCGGCAATGCGACCCGAAAACCAGTCGGCAATGGTGGATTAAGCAATTTGCTTGGGCCGATTCGTCACAAGTGAGGCGTTGAATGTAGTCGCAGAGTCACCTATTCGGGTTAGAAAAGACATAAGAAAACGGCTTAGTTCTCAAATCGTGAGTCTGCCAGGGGCAAAGCGTAAAATTACGCATCTCACACGGTGGGTCGGTCCGGTCCGGCGAAAAACACTCATGAGGGTATCGCGACAGACGTCAAAAGCTGCTAGGACCGTTCTTGTTTATCTCATTGACTTTATGTAAACATTCCGATACAATATGCAAAGAACTACATCCTGCCCTCAACGACACCAAGTTTGCTACTTGTGGTGTAGTGCTTAGCATATATGTGACAAGTGTAACAATATAATAGCTATCGATACGAGCCACATTGAATGGAGAAGCATGGCTCTCTCCTGGGAACTCATGCAGCCCATCTTGAATGAAACTTGGAAGTATATTATTCGGACATGCTCGCGTGAATAGACTCTTTTCTAGAAACCGACAATCTGGAACCGCTAACTGATCAAGTCGCAGCAGATCAGTCATGTCTCACGACTCGTGGCAGGTCTTGCCAGTTGATGTATGAGAACCTGAACCCTAAATCTCTATCTCAATCTAGCCCGGGGCTCGCCAACTTACTCGTTGGTCGCAGCAGATGATTCATGCTAGGGGATATCCATCCAAAATCAATCAAGAAAAGAAAGATGTGCCGTCTTGTGATAGGGTTTTCTCTGCCGTTTCCGAGAGTGGGGCCGGACCAAAACCTTGGGCGTTCAGAGGCGAGAAGAAGGTTCTCGGTATTGATATCTTCTGACCTTGTGCTCGGTTTGTAGTAAAGTTTCCTGATTTCCGGATTTCCAAAGCTGAGCGGCCGGGAGTGGCCTTGTTTGGTTCCCGAGAGAGAGAAAAAAAAGGGCTGATTAACCTAATGGAAGCTGTGTACCCGACCATTCTCATCTGGAAGTAGGATTGTCTTGTTAGCCACCACCTTGCGCAGTCACTTGGAGGACCGCACTCACAACATTGCCTCTTCCTAGCCGCAAAATTTACTGGAAAAAGAAAATCAATCAATTCTAAAAATCATGCAGAAATGGCATTTACGTACGACAAGCTCATAGAATGCCATTCCGACTGCGACGATGCGCAACGCCGGAGACGCCTCTCGCCCTGCGCGACTCCGCAGCCCGTCGTCTCGCAGCGAACTGAGCGACTGGCATGGCTCTTGCTAGTCACCTTGCTCATTACAGGTAACGTGTTTCTGCTCTTCTCCCTGGCAGGGCCGACGACGGTGAAATGCGCCTACTCAGGCGATTCGTACGAGACGGGCTTTGCGACGGACATGGGTGAGTGCAATGTATTCAATTCAGTAGGTTGCGCAGAGGCTGACAGCAACCGGTCGTAACGAAAAGCGATAACGACTCCCCATATCGAGTTACAAGCCGTAGAGTACACGGGCGGTGTGGAGAGGCACCCTAACGGGACATTATTCCTAAACCACACCGGGGCCTCGGCGCGATATGTCGGATTCCCGACGCCTGAAATTGAGGAGAACTGGGAGCTCCTGGAATCCGGTCAGTGCTTTGAATACCCACCGCTCTCGCATCACTCTGCCTCGTAGCTTTTTCTCAAGCCGCTGACTGACGACAACAAAGCCATCTCGATAGTTCTGACTAGTGAGGAGAACACCTTGAAGGATGGCACCCCGATCCCTACGATGGGTGAGCCGGGCGAGCCCGGAATGTACAGGGTGAGGTAAGATGCTGAATCCGTCCTTATGCTTCTTTTGATATCACATAGCCCTTGACCAAATGGCATCGAGTCCGCTGAAACCTGAACACCTTGGCTCTTGGCAGCATGGATGTCATACATTCGCTCCACTGCCTCAACATGCTTCGGAAAGGCATATACGCAGATCATTACTACCCGCCTTCGCAACGAGGTGGCTTTTACTTCTTGCATATGGGTGAGCTTCGCCCCATCTCCCGCGGAATTGGGGTACCAGTCCTCAGAGGTACCCATATGATTAACCGGGCACTAGACCACTGCATAGAGCATATACGCCAAGCGCTTCAGTGTCATGCTGACCTGACACCGCTTGTCTACAGCTGGGACGAGGATAGACAATCGGGCACCCCTATTTGGTCATCGACTCACACCTGTCGTGATTTTGAGAAGCTTCTGACGTGGGATCTCACGCGCCGAGGGAAGAGTTTATACAGTGGCAGGCATAGATAATTAGAGAGTAAATACAGAAAGGATTAGGGTGTTTACTATATCGTTCCTAGAAGTGTTATTCTCTAGTGCTTAGACTTAGTACCTTTATATTAAATAACATTATAGCAACACGAAGCATAGAATCAATATATGTTAGCTTTTGACTTTTTAAAATCATTTGGGTACAGATTAACCCTCTAAGTTAAATTCTGTAACCCTATCACTTTCTGCTATACTAGGGCCTTGTGATTCACGATTCAAAATCTGCTATTTTGCCTGAGTGCTGTTTTATATAGTTTATATTTTGAATCTTGTTTAAAGGATGCAAGTTAAATGTCATGAGCGCTGGCCCATTTTCTACATGCTAATCGTATATTGCTTGCCTTGACTTTAACATCGACAGAAACTAAAGACAACAACCTTGATCTAATGACCGGCACTCCCCTCACTGCAACTGGAGTTGCATGCAGGCATCCTTAAGCCTTTCGGGCGTAGCGCTACGTAACGTTTCAATGGTTCGGCCGTCCTTGATGAACAAGAAGGTCGGGACGGTGGTGATGCGGTGCTGGGCGGCGAGTTCGGGGACAACGTCGACGTCAACCTTTGCGAAAGCGATGCCGTGGGGCGCGAGCTCGTCGGTGTGCTTTTGGAAGAACGGCGCGATGGCCCTGCAGGGGGCGCACCAGACGGCATGGAAGTCGATGACAAGACGTGAATTGTTCTGTTGAAGCTTGACAAGGTCGTCGAGAGACTCTATTGTGGTGATGGGCATGGTTGAGATGGAGCTGTGGGTGTACAGTTTTGCTGTGGAGGTATGTATAGATATGTAAAGAGGTGAAAACAATTAGAATATTAGTCAATACCCTAGCTAATATTTCTGAGGCTATCGAGAAGTTTGGGCGAACCCGTCCTCCCCTCACCTTTCTGCTATAATAAACAAGGTGTTAGAAACAATGGAATCGGATCCCTGAGTCAGTGTCTTTCTCTGGCTGGTGCCTTCGTACAGTCTCCACCCACTCGCCCGCTCGTGGGAACGGCTGGGCAGTATACTGCATAGTACAAGGTTAAACTTCCGGACCGGTTGCATCGGCATTCTTGGATACAGTGGTGTACAACATTACTATATGCTCCATCTGGATTTCAGATGTCATCCAGGATCAATGTGGTGGGGTAGGTCAATTCCCCGTCTTCTATAGTGATTTATGATAGTCCCATTCATAGTATTGATCTTTTGATACGACTCTGTTTTCATTTCTCCAATAGCATACTGTATGCAGGAGGAGGTCTATCCATGTGTACATAGTGAAAGTTATATATGATGATGGGCTAAAAGTGGACCCATACTTGCAGTGCAGCAATTGTGGCTTATATGGCTTCACGACATGATACAAGCTCCAAAGTCCCGTGTCATTCTCTTGATACTGTAAAATCGGTCACGAATATAGTTGGTAATGCCAGTCAGAAGATATTTACGCGTATAATTGCAAGTCTAGTAGCCTCTGAGATTCTCCTCAGTTAGTTGTCTATCAAACTAAATTCTAAAAACGCCCTGTCTTAACTACTTGGCCGCGTTCTATGCGTGGCGCGAGAGGATATCATCCAGGCGCTCATTCGCTCTCTTGTAGCGTCGCCGCTTGACTGGCGTTATCCTCCTCAGGGTACTGAACCAGATACGCGCGCTTGTTGACCTTGGCTGCGTTGTCCTCCTCAGGGTACTGAACCAGATACGCGCGCTTGTTGACCTTGGCTGCGTTGTCCTCCTCAGGGTACTGAACCAGATATGCGCGCTTGTTGACCTTGGCTACGTTGTCCTCCTCGGGGTACTGAACCAGATACGCGCGCTTGTTGACCTTGGCTGCGTTGTCCTCCTCAGGGTACTGAACCAGATACGCGCGCTTGTTGACCTTGGCTGCGTTGTCCTCCTCAGGGTATTGGACCAGATACGCGCGCGCAGCAAGTCCATGGGAGGACACTCCACTGTAAAGAATTATTAATGCCGTTCACAATATTGTGTCATAGAGTCATGACAAACCTATCGGTAGGCGTGGGCAAAGCCAAGGCGGAGGCCACAAGGACAGCGGCAGCAAAGATCTTTGCGGAAACCATTTTCTTCTAAAAAGGTCAAGTGAAGTGGATGTTGCAAGTGAGTTGGTTTGAGAAGTTGATGATTGCAGTTGTTCTATTGGATGAGGATTGTGCCGGAAAGGAGAGGCAAGAGGGGCGGCAAAGGTGCTGTTTATATACTTTATTTGATTCTGTTTTCCAAGACCGAGAAATCAGGGCGACGTGTCTTGGCCAACTCTCTCTTTCACCCTTGGTCTCTTCAACTTTGCTTGGACCATTTGCGGTAGTTATTAGGATCACAATCATGCCTCTCCCGCTACTCCGGTCGGCTCTCGGTTCGCTATAGCGGCCAATTGCCCCGAATTCCATCCGTGTCAGTTACTCTATCTGTCCAATTACTCGAGGCTATGTCACTTTGAGAAGTACAGGCTGAGAGGATCTTCGGGATCATTTGCGGCACCAGTGTCATGACTATTTTGGTCCCAAGATCGGACCGCGCTCTTGTCGATCATCCTTATCCGTGGATCCTGGGCCAGTGACTTGAGTGGAGGAGAAGTCGGAATGGATGTCCCAAGAAAGAGTATTACAGTGAAAGAGAATCTCATGAGTAAGGTGGAGATCACCGTCGTTCTCGGTCACACATGACTCATCTTCCGAACGTCCTGACTCGTGAGGGACCGAATGAGCCCACCACTGACCTTGTCAGTATTTCATTCCGAGCCTACAAGTGCATCACATCATACCTGGTTGAGCCAAGTAATTAAGCTGTCCATCATCAAATTGTATTAGTGACGCTTTCGTGTAACTTGAGAGACGGCGGACAAGACGACAACTGCTTTTGGTGACCATGGGTTCAACACTCACCAAGACTTTTGCGGCAAGCATGTCGGTCCAGCGGAATGTGCCGTGGGCCTACACGCCAAGAAGAACGGCCTCGCCCCTGCTGTTTCTTCTCGGCCTCGTGTTCATGATTGTTGCTACAACGCTCCAGGGCGTCGTATTGTGGAAGATGTCTGAAAGAGGCCAGGAACCGGAGCGGCTAGGCGAGATCAACGGGTTGTTTCCCAAAGGTATTGAACGTTTTGCTTGGGCTAGACTGAAACGACTTATCTTCTTGACGGGAAACTAAGCTAACTGCGAAATTTCAACAAGTTCCTTCAAAGGTCGTGCAGTTCCGCAACGATACACATTTCCGCCCTCTCGACCTCTCAGATCCGAGGTGGAACGAAGTGATGCCTCGTATGTTGACACGAGCAGTCAGGAGACATTCCTGGTTGTCTTTCTGACAGTCAATCAGAATATAAATGACTAACAAGGCTGTTCCAAACGCAGGGGGCGGTGGCTTCATCGAGGTGAGCAGAAGCGAGGCCAAGGGCGCGCGGCTGCCGCCCGAGATCCATACGCGAGGTATGACGGTGTACAACGTCGCCGTGTTTCACCAGATGCACTGTCTGCACGCTCTTGCCGGAGAGCTCAAGCATCTCATCGACATGGTGCGCGATGGCGCACCCACAGGAACCGAGGTGCAGCCGTCACGCCTCGAGCACATTGAGCACTGCCTGGCGTACCTCAAGGAGTCGCTTGCCTGCTGCGGCGACACGGCGCTCGAGGGCCAATCGGACATCAGCGAGGAGCCATCAACCGACGGATTTGGCTCTATTCACGTCTGCAAGGATTTTGGCCGCATCTTTGACATGGCCGAGGGCCGTCGTGTGAGCAATATGCCAGGGTATCCGGATGCCAATAGCCATCACTGATGGGTCACATATCGTGTGTACATTTTGAGATGGAGACAGCACCATTGATTGCGACGGTAATCTGAAGAATGAACTTTATACTCTGTTGCTGTGTTTGTCGTGAAAAGATGCAGAAAAGTAGACCTAGACAAGTCGAAGATATTCAACAGCGTACCATGAACTTTTAATTTCGTTCATGAGAGGCAAGACTTTTCGACGAATACGTACGGCGTCAGGCCTCAGTAGCAATCTCGCTCCAGTAAGACAACCCTCTGTTATTTGCGTGTTAAGCATTGGCAAAACGGGCTACAACTTTAGATGTCTCGCGTCACAGCCCTGGTCAAGGCATCACCAAACCCCTTTGATTCGTTTAAGAAATCTGCTATTCTTTATTTCTTTGCTACAAAAATCAGCACCTCTTCAGAAGGGGAGGGAGAATGTGATGTGTACGATCCAAGACTGAAGTAGTAATAGCATTAACGAAATTACCCAAAGTTCATTACATGACAAGCCAAGCTCCCGTCCAGTGATCCTATCCTCATCGTATCTTCCAAAGGATTGCTATCTCACAGACGGACAGGACGAGCCACCCGAATTCTCGACACCGGAACATTGGACAAGCCACTTCAGCAGCACCTGTGACGGCTCGTCTACTGCCCTCATCGTCACGTCGGCTAGACACAACAGCCCGGCCGTAACTAGCAAGAAACCTGACAAATTGCCCGCAAGCACGCTTAGTCAGGAGTCGGCTCCAAGGGCCGACAGAGCCCCCGCCACGTAATCTCGGCAGAGAAGCTGTAGCCACCAGCCGCCCATCTCGAGGTACGGGTAGTGAACCAAGTAGAGCGAGAATGTGATGGCGCCCAAGTACTGCAGCGGTGTCGAGCACAGCGACTCCCTAACCCTTTGCACTTTACTTACGGACCAAACAACGGCGATGGCGCCCAGAGATTGCCAGAGATGCGCACTAGGAGACACCCGGCTCGTCAGGCCGAACCCGACGGCCTATTCCGCCCTGTCGTCGGGATACGACAGGGCCCACAGACCTAAGAGGAGTACGAGCATGGGCCAGGCCCGGAGGATTGCGGACCGCACGGACGAGAGGGGAACCCTGCCGCAGATCAATGGATTCGACATGGTGGTGCTGGTTCCGGTGCTGGTTCCGTTGACATTACCCCGAACTGTGGAAGGCAGTGCGTCAGCGTCCTGCGGGACCGCGATCGCCTTGTCGGACAGGCAGAGCTGCATGCCGGAAAGGAAGAGGGCGACGTCCCAGCGCTCCCAGGCAACGCAGTACACAGCCAGAAAGCCGACCAAAACGTGTCGTGCGCGGGCGTCCGGCAGGACCGAGGTGGCGACCAGCACGGAAAACAGGATTAGGGAGCACCGGAACTCTGTCCGGATGGTCCACAGGTGGGCCCCGTACTACGAGTCGTGCTCGTCGGCGTACAGATTCCCGGCCCAGGCCCACGGGTTGATGAGCTTGTGTGTAACAAAGCCCATCCAGTCAGCGCTCTGTTCCAAGAACGAGGATTTGAGGAAGACCGATTGGACGGGCAAGTGGGCCGGCAAGGCCTCCATGGATTTGGCGGTTGGGAACAGGCCGGCGGCTGCGACGACCATGACGACGGAGGTGGTTACGAGCGGCGGGAAGAAGAGTCGGAAGGGCCGCTTCAGCATAGCCGTCGCCAAGGTGCGGTGCAGCTTGTCGGAGGCGGACAGCCGGTTGTAGTGCTTAGATGGTGAGACGGTGAGGGCGTAGCCAGATATTAGAACGAAGAATATGCGCACCATGGCCTTGCCGGAGCGGAAGAGGCGGAGAACGGGGTAGTTGTACCAAACGTCGCTGATGCCGGGAATATAGCCCAGGAGTATTGTGCGGTCAAGGGCCATGGAGAGGTGCATGGTATAGACAAACATGGCGGCGATGCCGCGCAGCCCATCGAGGTGGGCTGTGAGCCGGCGGTCGGCCGAGCTGTGTTGGCCGGGTTGGGCTAAGCCGGCATGCCCGATGGTGTTGTATAAGGATGACACGAAGGCCAACGACACTTTCCAAAGGTTGCGACTGCGTTTCATTTTCTTTCCAAGACGCAGGCGCATGTGTTGACTTCGTGACTGCTTCATTGATGATGACGATGGCGTACAAGTGACTTGTGGTGGTGGTGGTCGCCGCGTGATTTGAGAGTATCCCAAAGAAGCTTTCCGCGAAAACAGCACCTCTCTGTCTGCTGGTTCAGTGGCCAGGTCCGGAGTGCATTTGTGGATTGTAAGCTGGGATAACCCTTTACTCGAACCGTAACAACTGTTTCCCCAACTGGTCTTGAACTATGTGGTTTTGAACCGGATGGTCATTATCACCCAGTACCATGATCGATGCATGAGCAAGAACTTTGTATACGGTAATGTTACGAGTTTCCGGAACCTTATTTGCCAAGCACTTTAGATCCGAACAGCCGATGGAATCGCAGAAACGCTTAGGGAGAGAGGCGCGCCGGCTGGAATTCTCCGCTAATTGCAGGCAGGGATTGACGCCTTATATCACTTCAGTTCCCTTCACGATGCCAGTCAAAGTGTTGTACGCCTGCGATCAGAAGGCGTCAGGAAAGTAACACAAAAAAAAAAAAAAAACGTCGCCAGGAGCCGCCATTCTACTAGAAAAGGCGCCCCTCGAAATTTGAACATGACCCAACCTCGATTTCCCGCACTCAGGGACTTCTTTCAGGTAAGCCCCGATCCAAGAACACTTCAAAGCCATATGGTTATCACCCTAGCAGAAAGCTGACAAAGCGGTGTTTTCCGTTTGTCCGCCATTGCAGGAGCGGCCTCGTAAGATATCCTACATAAACGTTCCCACGGCCGACTCGGCCAGCGACATTCAGGAGGACGCAAATGAGGCAGGGCCTCGTGTGTGCACAAAGTCGACCACCAGCCTGAGCCTAGGCGCTCTCGCGGGCTTCTTCAGCGGCCTTTTCTTTGCCCTAATACTTGTTGTATTTGTGCTCTGGTCGCAGGAGGCGGCCGGCGCATCGTCGCACGCGCTGCGAGGGACTGTCGGCCCCAGCGTCCAGGTCTCAGGCCCAAACGCAGCGGAATACTTGTCTGACATTACGGATCCGCCGCCACTGCTGAACCTCAGCTGCGGTGAATCCGTTGAGGAGGCGCGGCGGGCGGGCTGCGTCTTTGATCTTCTATCCACGGCGTGGACACCAGCCGAGTGTGTTGACACAGGCATGGTGGATGAGTTTGTCAACATTGTGACAAGCGATGGCGCGTGGCCCTACTACTACGACAAGGAGGGGACCCAACCAGCCAAAGACATTGAGTGGCTGCGCAGCGGCGAGTGGTTTGGCCAAGAACTGTGGTCGACCATGCGGCTGCACAGACATCACTGTATGTTCACATGGCGGCGGATGCACATTGCCTACAATGGGGGACCGCAAGTCGACACGGTCATCCGGGGGCTGCGACACACCAAGCACTGCGCCAAGATGATGATGCTTGACGTTGACCCGGATAAGGTCTCAGGCGTGCAGAATGTGTACTTCAGGAGCTGTTGACCCTGTAATCCCATGGCTGCGACACACATTCAGGATACCGAGTGGCGGATGATAATGGCAATGAGCGTTTGGTGCATCCTCTTCTGGTTCTTGATATATATTCCGCCTGGGAACAAAAAGAGTAAAGCAACAGTATATGACAGTCATATTGGTGTTGGAAGAAGAAAACAAATATTCAAGATGCGTGCTGTGATGTGGCTCGCCCCCATCCTTTACTAGATGAACAAAGGTTTCATATCGTCATGGGCAACATATGCTTGCTCTACCGGGATCTATCCGTGTTTGAGATTCCAAAACTGTAGTGGTAACGATGGGCCTCTTTTATTGAAGCTGTGATGGCTTGAGTGACAGGGTGAATACGGTATTTCTTAATGACGAAGTTGTCTGGATTACGATAACATTAGCCATCAGCTCATGTTGGGAATGAACCGGGCCCTCTCAACCAGGTCTTTGCACTGGTATATTTCCCTGCTAGACGAAAAGTCTACCATTTGTTTAGAACTGCCTAAAACTTCACAGTAGGCCTTAATAACGGACTGGCGACCGACTCGCGACGTCACGATGGCCAGAGAAACAGACTTCCAGCTTCGGGCCGGAGCCATGGGGACCCCGGCTGCGGCTCGGTTCTGCTCTCGGAAGGGAAATCTTCCTGCTGCCTTCCTCCAATTCCTGCCAACAAGATATAAGTTAGGCGTTTCTACTAGTCATTAAGGATCGCACGGGTCGGTAGGTTCAAGTATTAAGCTGTACGCCGTGCAATCTGAATGACTGTGTCCAACACCATATCCCGCAAGACCTGTTCATTTCTTCCACAATATCTCACGATTACTATTCATTTACCCTTCTCCTTGGCTTGCTCTTACTCTCTGCTTGGATACCCACAACTAACGCAAAATCTTGGTGCGGTCGTGACATCGTGGCGCAATGGCCGGCATTCAATGCCTCAACGACGATCGCATTGGCCCTGTTGCAGCCAACTGTCGCGGTGGTTCCGACTTGACACAGTTCTTTGAGGCCGTCGTGCTTTCTATTGTCCCAACAGGCATGTACATGCTTGCTGGCCTATTCTGGTGTCTGACTCAAACGCAACGGTCTGCTACGGTGAATGGCAGTTCCTTCAAAACCAAGACTACATGTGCAGGCACCACTACTTGTTCTCGGAAGATCGCGCACTATGCCGAACAGGTGTGTTCTGACGCCAATGTTCCAGCATATTGGTGTACATTTTGAAAGCTGATTGGGAAAAACAGCTACTCACCGTGGCCCTTGTGGGCGGAAAGAGTGCTCATCTCATCGTCGTTGTGATGGCCCGGAGCATTCATCCCAGGCCCGCTATCGTCGCGTCGGCGGCCCTCGAACTCGCTGCCGCTGTGCTTACCAGTGTGTTAGTCCTGACCCGCCGCCGCCGCCGCAGCGGATTTATATCTCTTTCCAATCTGATGGGTCTGTACCTGGCTGTGACGGTTCTCTGCGACATAGTCCGTTGCCGGACCCTGTGGCTCCTGCAGCAGTCCGATGACGGGCGCCTCTCTGCGGCCGCCGCTGCAACCTTCACTACATCACTTGTGATGAAGGTGCCTCTCTTGCTTTTTGTGTCGCGAGCCAACGACGCCGATTTGGATCTGAGACACCAGGGCCCAGGGGGTGTACCTCGTTCCGCGTCCTCGAGTCCGGACACCACCGCTGGCATTTTTAGTATTGGATTCTTCTGGTGGATCAAACCTCTTATCCGCCTGGGCTATCGTCAGGTGCTGACCCTGGACGACCTGTATGCCTTGAGCCCTCGTTTGGCTCTGTCAAGGCTAGCGGACGGAGACGAAGATGGAGACTACGACAGCCAAGATGATGCTAAGTCGAGCTCCAAGTCGACACTGATGCTCCTTGTCCGTGCCACCGGCTGGGCGGGGCTGTATCCAGTGTTGCCGCGGCTTGTTCTCGTCGCATGCACCGTCGGCCAGGCCAGCCTCGGTCGTATGATCCTCATGTCCGTGTCTGACCCCAAGAACATCTACGGGTCCGGTATCGATCCAGGTGCCAGGTCTGGCCTTGTAGCCGCTACCCTCCTCGTCCACCTCTGCATCGCCCTGTCTAGTGCCTGCTACGGCTACTTGCACGAGCGCGCCCTCACCCTCGTTCGTGGCTATCTCATCCGTCGGGTCTATCAGCATGCCGCTCGCCTGTCCGTCACCTCTGAGGCATCCAAGAGCGCCTCCACCCTGGTCTCCGTCGACGTCGAGACGGCATACAACGGTCTCCGTCACGCCCATGAGCTTTGGGCCGTCCCCGTCCAGATCGCCGTGGCAGCCCGTCTGGCTTACATTGAGCTCGGTCCTGCTAGCCTCGTTGCCGTTGCAGTCATCGCCCTAGTTTGCGCCGCCGTCGCCGCCGTCTCACCTCTCATCGCCGGCCGCCAGCGCGCGTGGATGACGGCGCTCCAGGCCCGCGTCGCCGCCACAGGCACCATGATGCACGCCATCAAGACGCTCCGCATGGCCGCCTTTTCCCGCCGTGTCGCCGCTACCCTCCAGCGCAAGCGCACCCACGAGCTCCGTTTGGGATCCTACTTCCGCACCGCCATGTCCGTGTCGGCGAGCGTGTCGCAGGTGCCCTTTCTTGTGGCCCCTGTCTTGGCCTTCGCCGTTAACCCACGGCAGATCAACGCCGCCACCGCCTTTGCGACTCTCGGCTACCTGAGTCTCATGACCCAGCCCGTCATGACGGCAATCCAAGTTGTGCCTATGGTGCTAGCGACCCGCGTGTGTCTGACGCGGATAAAGCAGTTTCTGGCCGCGGCTACCCACGTCGATCGTCGTGTGCTCAGGCCAATATTGCTACATGCACCATCCTCCGCCGACATGGCCACCACCCAAGGCGGCGACGGCGACGACAACGAGAACGGAAAATGGGACGGAAAACCTGATCAAAAATTGGCCATCCGCATTGCCAACGCTTCCTTCGGCTGGTCCCCTGACGCCAGGCCTGTCCTACGCAACGTCAATGTCGATATCCCCATGTCCACCGTGACGGCTGTCATCGGACCTGTAGGCTGTGGCAAGTCGACGCTCCTCCAGGCCATCTTGGGCGAGATCCCCATGAGAGAGAACGAGGGCGTGGATCGGTCAGTCGCCGTCAATGCTTCCCGCGTAGCCTACTGCGCACAGAGCCCCGTACTGACCGACGGGACTGTCCGGGACAACATCGTCGGGCGGGCGTCGGCTTCAGAGTTGGTGGACGAGGTGCTGTACAAACAGGTCCTCGAGGCCACGGCTCTCGTGGATGATCTCACCCGGCTGCCCCGGGGTGACGCTACGCCACTAGGATGTCATGGCGAGAGCCTCAGTGGTGGACAGCAGCAGCGTGTGGCGATTGCGCGCGCGCTCTATCACACGTCTGACTTGTTTCTTGCCGACAACCCTCTGTGCAGCCTCGACCGAGCTACGGGACAGTTGGTTCTGCGCCGTGTCTTTGGCCCTGATGGCATGCTCCGCCGCCGCCGCGTCACTGTCGTCATGGTCACCGATCCTGAGTCCGCAGCCCGCGTTGCGGACCAGCTCCTCGACATCTCTCCGACGGGAGACGTGCTAATTCGCCCCAACCCGGACGCGCCTTTGTTGTGGCCGTCTCATTCGACGCAGACGATGACGCCAGAGGTCCAGAACGTCCAAGAAGAAGGCGGCGAGAACATTATGTCTGACGACCATGGAAGAGCAGCCGAGAGTGAGATTTTCGAGAAAGAAACTGCGATTATTAGCAAAGAGACTGTTCAAATAATGGCCGACCGTGTCGATACCGAGAGCCAAAGGGACAGTAGCAATCCTACGAAATGCCAAAACCCCCGGATGACTGGGACTAAGAAAGCCTCCGAGACATCGACGTGGCTTTATTACTTCTCAAGCGTCGGGCTAGCATCTTTCGTCCTCTTCGCCGTCTGGGTCATGGCGTTTGGCGCTCTTGTGACATATCCGACAATCTGGGTCCAGTCATGGACATCGGACATGGCGCGTAGCAGCCCTCCCGGTCCCCGGCGTTCCTCGGGGTACTACATTGGTGTCTACGGCGCCTTGGCCGTGTCCTGTCTGGTCGCCAATCTCATCATGGGTCTTATAGTTCTTGTCGTGTTCGTCCGCAACGCCGGCAGATCCCTTCACGAGGGCGCACTCCAGGCCGTCATGATGGCACCCACATACTTCCTTGCTGCCGCCGACGTCGGCGCTGTCGTCACCTACTTTTCACAGGACCTCGCCATCCTCGACGGGCAGCTCGCGGGCGCCCTCGTCAACCTTGCCGCTACTGCTGCCGTAATTGCCGGCCAGGGTGTCCTGCTAGCCATCTCGTCTCCCTGGCTCGCTATCACCTTTCCTTTTCTGCTGGCTGTTGTCTATTTAATAGCCCGCGTCTACGTCCCTGCCGCCGCTCGCCTGCGTGTGCTTGACCTCGAGGCAAAAGGTCCGCTTGTCGCGCACGTTCTTGCCTCGGCCTCGTCGCTTTCGACCCACCGCGCCTTCGGCCACGTCTCGCGCGAGATCCGCCATGCCCACGCCCTTCTCGCCATCTCGCAGAAGCCCAGCTACTTCCTTGGTATGGCACAGCAGTGGATGATTCTCGTCAACAATCTTATTGTCACTGCGCTAGCCACAGGGCTCACTGCCCTTGCCGTCTCGCTCCGTCTTGGCGCCGGGTCTGTCGGCGTTGGCCTAGTCACTCTCATCAGCCTTAGTCGCAACCTGTCCGACGCACTGCGTGCCTACACCATGGTCGAGATCGCCCTCGGCGCCGTTGCACGCCTCATGGCTTTTGCTCAGGAGACGCCTCGCGAAAAGACGGGCAAGGTCGCGGCGTCAGCTGAGGCATGGCCCGCCGCCGGACTTATTAGCATCGATGGCGTCTCTGCCGGCTATGGCGACTTGGATGATCCCGATTATTCGACGGTCCTGCACAACATCACCTTGGTAGTGACTCCAGGCGAGAAGGTGGCCATCTACGGGAGAACCGGCAGGTAAGTAATCCACCATCACATTTGACCTTCTCTCTCTCTTCCCAATGGGAATTTGAACACGCAAAACCGTGACGAAAAAATAACACTTCCTAACAGCGGCAAGTCCTCGCTTATCCTCATGGTCCTCGGCATGCTCGAACCCCTCCGAAGCTGTACCCGCAGCGTGCGTATCGACCAAGTCGTCACCGCCGACCTTGACCCGGCCCTCCTCCGCGAGCGCATCATTGCAATGCCTCAAAACACTGTCTTCCTCCCGGATGGCGCAACGGTGCGGGATAATGTCAACCCTCTTGGTTGCGCCTCGACCCAGGACTGTCGGCACGCCCTTGACGCCGTTGGTCTGCTGCCTAAGCTGTCGAACCTTGATGCTGTTCTGGACCCGAGAACATTCAGCGAGGGGCAGCGACAGCTATTTGGGCTGGCGCGGTGCGTCGCGCGCCGGCGGGCGAGGCTGCGCCAGGGCGCTGAGGGCGGGCTGCTTCTCCTGGATGAGGTAACGGCGCACGTGGACTGCGAGACGTCGGCCATGATGAACGAGATTGTGGCCCGTGAATTCGCCAAGTATACCGTCTTGGCCGTAACGCACCAGCTCCTGGATGCGACCCTATTCCCGCGGGCGGTGGTCATGGACGCGGGGCGGGTGGTGGAAGACGGTAGGACACGCGAGCTTCTTCTAGACGAGACATCACATCTTTCTACGCTGCATAGACAGCTAGATATATAAGTAAAGAGGAATTTAACAATCTAGCTATTCTATATCAATGAGATACTAGAGAGCTATGTGTATACATATCAATAATATTTATACAACCTGGCCCTAAGCAGAATGTAAACAAAACCAGTGTGTATAATTAATTAATTTAGAAACAAAGTAGTAAAAATACTTTGAGCTTTTTAGCACCATACAGGGAAGGTGGCGTGGTTCGAGGGAGTGTGTACACAAACGACGATAGAGTGGTACTCTGTACAGAGTTAATGTGGTATTGCGCTGTATCTGTTGATCACAATGTCAGAAGTTGGAGGCTGATGTCGGTCACGTGAATGTTGGGACAGGATTATTGTTGTCGCAAGATAGACGCCACCGGCTCCAGAATACAGGGGAAAGAAATATTGTCAAAGCCAGCGAGCTCGTCGCAGCATGAGCAGCACTGAGCGGATACGGCAGGAAGACGACGATAAAAGCAGACATGCAGCCAACTGGATCGTCCAAGGTCCAGATGCTCGGTGGGGAATACGCAATGCTGTCACCGCCAGAACCCTGCAAATCGATAGCTCAATGTATGGCTCAGCCAAAGTTAAGGCTTTCGTGGGGGGGCCTTCTAATCCGCCTTGACATAGTCGTTGATGTAAGCGACACATTTTATTGGTTGTACACGGTAATGTTGTACTGGATGTCCCCGTCAAAGTACAACGAGTATGACTCGATTGACCTGGGAGCCCTAGACGACGTCAACTTGGTACTGATCTGCCTATACTTTAACAGCAGCACGCTGAAACAGAGTTGCAGGGCCTGCGGAGAATGCCGCACGCAGATAAGGATGGGGGATATACAGGTATTTATGTCTTAGGTGCACTTCACGCCCTGCATGCACAGTATATCACTTATGGGGTGCAAATGATAAAGGACCCTAGCCGGGTATAACGCGCCATTAAGTAGTAAATATCGTGGTCTAGGCATACTTGTTAGTATTAACGGCAACAATCCAGTCTGATTCCACAGGCTTGTGCTTCACAGCTTTTGTGCTATGCAAGAGGCATTTGGCCTGAGCATTGCGGATTGGCGCATCCCGGAGAACGTCATTTGTGGCAGCTGTATCAGGGATGTCCAGAAGTTTGCGCGTTTAACCATACTAACCGAGACAGTATACGATTATAGCTAAATGTCCTGTGTGAGGTTTTTTTTCCCGCCCCTTTCCGGGGGATTCCATGTATGTGAGGACTTGAAAGGACTAATTCAATGCCGACCCCAGGCAAGGAACTCGACATTTCAAATTCTAGACTCGAGCTGCTGTCGTGGCTGCTGTAGACTACTGTCGCACTTGGTTGGTATGTGTACCATGCTGTTTAAATGAGCACATGGCGGTGGACGTCCCGTCGGTGCAGGGGGGCTGAGTCGCGATATCATCAGTGCCAAGGATTTGGGCATGGCGCTGGTGGATCAGAGCATGTTTTTGGCAATACCCTGAGACGTTCCCATCAAGAGTAACCTTTCTCGTGATGATTCACGTGACTCAAAGTCCCTCTAATTATCATTTATCCACTTCACTTGTTACACACATGCAATAACAATCATCACCACATATTTTACTTGACTCAAGCAGTCACCTAGATCCTAGCAGGTACTACGACAGATTATGGATCAGCAGCGGGCTTTTTGGGTTTGTTTGGATCTGTGGGGGGGAAGTTCCACTTTCAGGCTCTCGAATTAAGGTACTCCGTAAAAGTCTGGTGTTTATACAACGTCTCCGTTTTTAGCAACGAAGTAATATATAATGCCTGACTCTCAATCACAATAACTACAGCAGTCATACTTCCTGACTACTTTCCAACCTAAAATCCCACTGTTATGTCATTGATTCAGTCCTTTGTCAACGTCTAGCACCCTGACATGCTTTCTTTGGATACTTGGAACAGCAGCGGGGCGTCCGTGTACGCGCTGTACCTAATTACGGCTGCCCTCTCCCTTCTCATATACAGCCAGCGAGAGAGTTACCCCGACCTACCCCGGCTGAACCCCAAGAAAATCACAGAGCTGACATGGAGCGCACGGCTTTTGGACTATGCGAAACGAAGTCAAGAGCTGCTAGCTGAAGGCACACGGCAGTTCCCAGACAGGCCCTATAAGCTCTTCACAGACTTGGGCGATGTGGTTATGATCCCAAGCAGGTACGCCGAGGAGCTCAAGAGTAGCCGCATGCTAGAATTCAATAGATCGGCTCGCGATGTACGTTTATAATCTACGCTAGTTGCTGAAGAGCTATGATCTTACTAATAATCCGATAGGCTTTCCACGGTTATATCCCCGGCCTTACTCCGCTTCACACCGAGGATAGAATGAGATACGTCATTCAGAACTACATGACTAAGACCCTTAGTACGATTGGTTTTAGCCTTGCTCTTTTTATCCTTACTAACAAAAGGTTTTCCAACTAGCAAGTCTAACAGGAGTAATGTCACTAGAGGTTTCTAGGGCCCTTGGCGATATATTTCCTAACTCTAATGGTAAGCCTTCTCTTTCCCGATGACATGTACTACAGACTTAGGCACTAAAACGGCTATAAGCAGAGTGGACCGAGGTGACGCCCGACCACATCATGCATGTTATATCGCGCATGTCGTCGCGTATCTTCTTAGGTGAGGAGCTCTGCAATGACAAGGAGTGGATCCAGGCGTCGTCAGAGTATATAACTCTTGCCGGCCATGGCGTCTTTGAGCTAAGCCGGTGGCCGCGTTTAACACGTCGGTTCGTACACTGGTTCTTGCCGACCTTTGCTGAGATCCGCCGCCGGCTTATTCGCTGCCGCGCTGTCCTACAGCCCCATATCAACCGCCGTATTGCTATTAAAAAGGCCGTTATTGCGCGAGGGGAGCCAAATCCGTATAATGACTCTATTGAGTGGTTCTCGCGTGAATTACGCCCCAACGCCGACCCAACTGAAGTACAAATCAACCTAACTATACTTGCCGTCCATACTACAACCGATCTGCTAGCCCAGACCATGATGGACATTGCAAAACACCCTGAGATCCTTGGCCCCTTGCGCGAAGAGACAATTCGTGTCCTCCGAACTGACGGCCTCAAAAAGTCAGGCTTACAGAAGCTGCGCCTCATGGACGCCACCTTCAAGGAGTCGCAGAGGCTGCGACCCCTCTTCCTGCGTAAGCTTCACCCCTGAGGCTACCCCTCCTCTGGAGAGCTCCTCTGGAGTTGGAAACCCCTAAAAGACTTGTATCTGACTAAATGTCCCTGTACAGCCTACTTCCGACGCCAGGCCCTAGACGACATTGCCCTAAAAGACGGCTTTGTTATTAAAAAGGGCACTATTGTCGCTATGGATGGGCGCACAGTGCTGCTCAACGAAAAGGACTACCCAGAGCCACTACGTTGGGATCCGTACCGCTTTATACGGATGCGCGAGACAGGCGAGGAGAACAAAGCGCACCTAGTCAGTTCGTCAAACAAGCATATCGCCTTCGGTCACGGCATTCACGCCTGTCCTGGCCGATTCTTCGCTAGTCATGAGCTTAAAATCGCCTTCGCCCATATCCTCCTTAAATACGATTGGAAGCTGCCAGAGGATGTGAAATGTATGCCTAGCTTGACAGCAGGCTCGCACTACCTGCTGCCTCCTAATACTAGGTTCTTGGTCACTCGGCGCAAGGAGGAGCTAGACATAGATGCACTAGAGTGCTAAAGAGAGGAAATCTAGGAAGACAGCGTTAGGGAAGTACTATAATATGTTGTATTGATAGGCTAGTATAAAGTCAGAATTAACTAGTTATACGTCCTCTTAAGGAATGTTCTACTACTTACACACTACAAGCTTGTAATTACTCAAGAGGTTAAACTCTCAGTAACACACCGAGTCTATTGCTGTAATCTAACGTACTTAGCGCCGGCACTAAAGAAATTCGTCAAAGGCAATTTTACAGCTTGTTATTAGTGCAACTGTAGCATCTGGGTTACAAGGTAGGTATGGATGCTGACTTGTTCCAACTACGCCTCCAGTCGACAGGTTCAAGACAGTACGTTGACGGAGGAATCAATCTTCACGTACTATGTCTGTCATTAATGCTAAGATCCTGTCAGATGTCCAAGATGAGCCAAAGCCAATCAAACATCTATTAGTAGTCATGTTCTAAAATTTCATTGCCGTTACAAATATGGTGATGGCGACAGCCTCTGTAGTTATCATATTTGCCTGGCGACTAAGACCCTTTTCTCTAACTTGATGTAGTAACCAGCCTTTCCACCATCAAATCCAAGATGGCAGACTACACCACACGACTGAATTATCTAAGACCTCGAGTTTCAGCCTTAGTGCCGACGGTGCTGACGCCGACACACCTCCATCTGCACGACTGCTAAGCGACGGCCTCCATTTACTAATACCACAAGAGGCACCACCTAGACCCCATGGACCATCAATGTATTTGACTAGAATCAAAACGGCCAAAGCACAAAACCCCACTTACCTTGTGCCTGGACCAAGACTTGGTTGGACCTTTCGCTGGTAGTGCTGGGCCATTCTTACTAATAGCTGATCCTGGAGCGCAAGCTTGACTAATATTACTTGCAACAATCCCACCACTAATGCCTTCAAATTACACCCTACTTGATGCCTGTACCGCGAACCCAATACTTATTAATGAGGATGAAGACTGTTCGGCCGGTAATATCGGGAAAAGTCTTGGCAGCTTGGCCCCCCTGCAGTGGCTCTGGAGTGCCGTCATCTAGGGTAGGGCTCAGCGCCCGCGAAGCGGCAACGTTGGTGTCATCAACCCCAACATGTTCAAGGCAGAGATGATCGCATCACGCGCGGCGTGATACGCCTATCGGAGAGCGAGGCCATGCGCGAAACAATTGCCCGAATCATTAGGACAGACTCGCATGCGCGGTTCATCAAAGTATGCGACTCAGACACCGGTAGAGTCTTCGGGTATGCCCGGTGGCAAGTCCCCTCGAGCTTTCGCCAGGTATTTTTGTCTAATCAGCTCGATGGACCAGCGGGAGTCGAAGAAAACGCGGAGACTCCCGAGGAAAGGACCGCTTCTTTGGCCACGTCGATAACCAGCATGGACCTGTGGAATCACATCATGGGTGCCCTGCAAGAAAAAAGGGTTAAGGATGTCGACCCAGAAAAATGTCTCGGTAAGTTATATACGCTTGTTTATTTTGATTCTTCGCTCTTTGGGCTAATTAATTTGTGTCTAGTTCTAGGTTTGCTTGATGTCTACCCAGATTTCCAGGGCCAAGGCGCTGCGAGGAGGCTGTTAGAGTGGGGGTTGCAGCGTGCGGATGAGGCTGGCTCTTCAGCATATCTGGAGACTCCCATTGTTCTGCAGCTGCTTTTTGAGAAGTTTGGATGGGTTACCGTGGATGAAGTTGCCATTGACTTTGAAAAGTTCGACGATGTGTTCGAGAGGGGTATTCAGAAATGGGTATGTATGCTCCGTCAGCCGTGTAAAACCTGCACTGATTGATATAATGGGTTGAGTGCGTCATGACAATAGATTAACTTGAAATTGGAATGGGATGATATGGAAACGAGCTTGGAGGACGGGCAGTAGAATTATTTCTTCCTTCTTGTATTCTATGAAGTCAGCCAGCTGGGTGCGGCAGACACTATCATGACGGCAGCGAATTCTTCTATTTGACGAACCACACCTCTTCTTGCCGAAACTTCATCAACGTAACTCTTCTTACACGAGATTAGACCTTAAAATCTAATCCTCCATCGATCGGGCCTACCTGAGACTTAGAGCGTTCAATGGAGAACTGATGACCAACCAGATTAATCCCATTTCCTCCCAGCCACGCACTCTAGACCGCGCTGACTATTTCCAGACTAGGAAAACTGGAGAAGCTCAGACTTCTTCCTTTTCTAATTGAGTCAAATACCACACGTCGATTCCAGAGTTCTCGCGAGTATATTGCGGATTAACTACGGTTGCAGTCTCTTGATCGGAAGGCTATCATGCAGACCGTTGAAAGCATATATATCAGGAGTTTCATAATAGGGGAGTTTGCTGTTACGGTCCAATTAGGATACTACAGTTGGTTGTCCTGACCTGCTCGTAACGTTTGTGAGGCGTTGAAATACAATCCAAGAGCCAGGTTTCTCCTTAAGTCTTTGAAGATGACGTCCACCATGCAAGCCGATCTAACACCCTGACCGTTGCTCGTTATCCATGTCAACCTCCTTAGGCTGCAGCCGCGACAGCCCTGTGAAAAACACAACTGCGGTTGCTATCGCTAACAGAGACCCGACTGAAATATATGGCAGGCCGATCCAAGGGCCACCCCAGTTCATGCCGGTGCGGAACGTCGCTGCGAGCAAAGGCCCTGCTACCAGGGCCCCTATTGTCTCAGAGATGCTCATTATTGTATACAGCATACCGATGTTGTCTTTCTCAACGACAGATGCTAAGAGGCTGCGAATGAGAATATTATAGCCTGAACCAAGAGCGAAAATGCTGAGGCCGACTACCATAGCTTTCGATGTATCCGAGCAGCCGATAGTGAAGGCGCCCACGGTGAGCAGCGCGACGCTCGCTCGTGCCAGTAAGAGGTTCGTATACTGAGCCGACTTTGACCACCTATGGATGAGAAGGTAGCTTGTAGACGGGATGATTACAGTGAGAAGGATAAGGTTGACGAAGGCTCAAACGAAAATCAGAAGACCAGCCTATATAAGACAGGTCTCCCAGGTTAGCAAGCAACACTGGGAACATGTAATAAACCGCAGCGTCTTGTCATATAAGAGAAAAGTAGTTAACCTATTAAGAAACTATATATAAACTAGAGAAGCAGTAGAAATACCTTTTCTAGACAGTCTATGTAGGTAGTATACTACATCCTATAGTAGTACTACTAGCACTAGCTATATAAAGCTAATCTAGCTTTATAATATACCCTTTTAGCTTTAAAATATCTTAAAGGTAGTTCTATATATAAATTTAGAATTATTAAATAAAAAAAATAAAGTAATTATTATATAATAAAGGTTATTATAACTAAAATATTATAATAAAATAAATAAAGAAAAGGTTTAAAAGGGACCTTTTAAATAAGGGTTTTTACTTTATTAACTATACCTTCCTCTATTATTTTTAAGGAAGGTATAATAGCTTTAGGTTTTTAATATAAAATAACCTCCTTTTTTTTCTTTAAATCTTTTTCTTTTTTTTTAACTTATTAATAAATTAAATAAGTAAGTTAGTTTCTTTTTTTACTTAGTGCTTAGATTCTAAGGTATATATTAGCTAATTTTCTTATTCTTAAGTAAAAAATAGCTAGTAAAATAAAATAAAAAAGTGTTAATAATAAAATCTAGAAGTTTAACTACCTTTTATCTAAAGAAGAAATTTTACTATATAAAATATAAGGTTTTACTTTATATAATTATTACCTCTTATACCTTTAGTTATTAAATTTATACTTAAGTATAAATTATTTAAGAATTTATAATACTACTTTAAGAAGCCTTATATTAAATAAAGTTAAAAACCTTTATAACTTATTTATAGCTAACTAAGTAAAAATAGCTAGTTTACTAGTTATTAATAAAGAAGGCCTATCTAGTGTTTTAGCCTTTAATAGTGTTAGCTTAGCCTAGACTTCTTCTTTAAATATAGTCTTAGCTAAGAACTAGGTAGCTTTAGTTTAGACTTCTACTTTTCTAGTTTAAAATCCTTTTATAAATATAGTTTTAGCTAAGAATTAAATAGCTATAGTTTAAAATTTTATCCCTTAAGTAGCTATACCTAGTGTTCTTTTTTTTATCTAAGAGAATTTACTTTATACTTTACTTCTTATATCTAGAAATCTATTTCTCTTAGGTAGTATTAATAATTCTTAAGTAGTTTTAGCTAAGACTTTAAAGAAGATACCTAAGAAAAATAAATAAAAAGTAAAGTAGTAGTAGCTTAAAAAGGCGTTTTTTAAGTAAGTAGTACTTATTTACTAAAAATATAAGACTTATATATTAATTCTTAAGTATTTTTAGTTTATACTAATATAAAAAATTTATAGCCTTAAGATTATTAAATATAAATTTTACTTTATATACTAATAATATAATAAGTTATTAGTAAAAAAATAACTAGGCCTATATCTAGAAAGTATATAAAATAGAATCTACTTTAGCTTAGACTTACTATATTAGAAAAGCTAAGAAATATAAGCTACTTAATACTTTAGATTAGAAGTCTAAGTCTAAAGATTTTAATAGTAAGCCTTTGTCCTTAGTTTATAATTATTCTATAAAGTAATATATAAGTGTAATAAACTATAGTGTCTTAACATTTATAAAGAGAAGTAGTTGATTTTCCTAAGTCTAAGTACAAGAGAAAACTTGCCTAGAAATACTCTTCCTAATATAGGTCTTATTAGTTAAAGGCGCTACTCTGTAGTATCTTTGACTAGAACTAGCTACACAAAGCTGTCCTAGCTTTATAATATACCCCCTAGTTACAAAGTCTATCTTTATAACTAGATAAAGAACTATAGATATTTTTATAATAAAAGAAAACAAGATAGTTATTAGTTAATAATAGCCCTTTAAGCTAATTAATAGGTAATAAAGTAAATAATAGTATTATATAAAAGGTCTTTTAATACTATATCTTGTTATCTATTATTATTTACTCTAGTAGTAGTTCTTTTTATTTCTTAAGGTGCCTATTCCTTCTAAAATAGGTAATAACTAACTACTTACTAGTTAAATAATAAATATCCTTTAATA